AAAATATATAATCAACATTGTTTAACTGAAGAATCACGATAATAAATCACAGTGCATTTAGTGCCCACCATAGTCTTAAGACCTGTGTTGAACGTGCCCAAGCCCATACTTTTGAGAGCACCATGTGAGCACCTGTGTGTGTACACGCGCTTGTTTATGTAAGGTCTCTCTATAGGAGCGTCCAATAGAGAGTGTGAGGGGCCACAGATCCACCCCCCAAAGATGTGTAGGAGACGGGGGGAGCTCCAAGTCCCAGAGATCCAGGAGCTGCCCCAGAGCACAGGAACCCCAAGGAGACTGCGACCAGAAAAGCCCCCGCCCCCCTCGAGAGGCACAGAGGATCGCTTTGGGGGGCCACACTCAGTAGCCGGCAGAGTCCAGGGAGACATCAGCGGCAAGCCCACAGGTCCGCCCGCAGCCTCCCACCCCCTAACCGGCCGAGCCCGGGACCCAGCGACCCGGGACCCAGGGGCGACCACCCCCGCCGGGGACCCAGCAGAGCCCAGGGACCCAGACCCCACCAGGCAGCCACCGGGATCGATAAGGCAGACGCCAAAATCTTAAACCCCCAGACCCGGTTGCCACGAACACTCAGGCAGACCATGGCACCACACTCCACACCAGGTGTGGCAGGGGGAGGGGAGGCAAAAATGTATATCATCAAAAGAAGTTCCAGGAGAGGGGAGGAGTCAAAGGCCCCACCTGACATATACAGTCATACACAGACACAGTCACACACTCCCTCCCTCATGCTCACACATGCACATACAACCCAAGACTTACAAAAATGCACGCCGGACACCCACTCATGCTCCCCATACACACCCTATTCACTCTGGTCCCGGTACTGCTGCACATGGGGTACAACCATCACCGGTAACCAGAGTTTGACCCTTTCTGCTGGGGTGCTGATGAGCAGGCTCCCCCGCCCAACGCTGAGCACAGCAACCCACCACCCCAGACCCCAACCAGACGGCCAGATCTCCCTCCTAGCCTCCAGCCCCAGGAAGCCAAGCAACAACAGAGGTGGCTAAGACCCCTAGTCTCCCTCCGCCTGCTCCAATATAGTGTTGTGTGTTCATGAGGTGTATTCCATGGCTGTGGTGAGCGGGCAGTGCGGGCATTGTCTGGCCTATGCCATCTGGTGCCACCGCACCACCCCACTTACACCCACAGCCCTCGGTGTCTAAGTGCGGTTTAAAATTGGAAGTGGGCACCGGCACTCGGGAGGAGGCTGAGATGTCCCCCTGCCAAATGCCGTTGAATGTGCTCACTCCCAAGGCCCTAAGTGTGTGTTTGTGTGGAATGTCATCAGTGGAAGTGTATAAGGTGCAAATAAAATTGGGGGGCAGGTTGCCACAGGAATGTGGAAATGGGGTCCATACCCGCACTCCCTGACTTGCCCACCCCCCAAGGTCCTATGTGTATGTTTGTGTGATGATGTGAGGGGGCAGGAGGAGAGAAATATGTGGGGATGAGGAGGAATGGCTGGTTGGGTCTGGTGTAGTTGCTGAAGATTTCGCGTCTGGTGTAGTTGTTGCTACTTTAGGGTCTGGTGTAGTTCCTGCCGTTTTAGGGTCTGGTGTAGTTCCTGGAGCTGTAGGGTCTGGTGTAGAACCACAGCAGGAATGTGTTCTTGTAAAGCTTTTGGATCTGTTTGGGTTTAATTGTCTGTTTTTATTTCAACAGAATGTGGTTGAACAGGGAAGACCGGTTGACTTGTGTGTGTGTGTGTGTGTGTGTGTGTGTGTGTGTGTGTGTGTGTGTGTGTGTGTGTGTGTGTGTGTGTGTGTGTGTGTGTGTGTGTGTGGATACCTGTGGCATTAAGTCATCATTCCAACTCTGAATCGGTGGTATGAAGGCCATTTGCTCACCTAACACCCCCAACCCCCTTTCTGTCACACACACACACACACACACACACACACACACACACACACACACAATGTGATTAGAGTGCAATCCGGTATCTGTATCCACCATCTTGTCTGTGCTTTCCTGCTGTGTTGACAGAGCAAATACTTACTGTCTGGTGTGTGTGTGTGTGTGTGTGTGTGTGTGTGTGTGTGTGTGCGCGCGTGTGTGTGTGTGTGCACTGTTTTTAACAACACATTTAATGAAACAATAATCATTAGTTTATTTGTATTAAATGTGTTTGAAAACATGAAAAAAACCTTTTAGATGACTGACGTTAAAGGTGTGGAACACTGAAAACCCATTTTTAAAATCCTATTTCTGTTTGTTTAATGCAGGCTGAACATGAAAATAGTCTCCTACACCTATCTCCTGCATTAGCTTCTGATAGAAAACAGACGGTGAAACTCTAGGATAGAAAATCCTGACAGATCTACGCCACCCTGTCACTAACATTCATGGACTCACCCATCTGGCCCACCACGGGGAAGGCTGTTTAGTCCAGGAAACAGCAGCGAATGTCTCAGCTAGTAGAAGCTAACTGTTAGCATTAGCAGCTCCACCACACAGCAGAACTTCTCCAGGCTTGTGTTGTTTGTGGAGATAAAACATCAACGTTGCAGATCAACCAGAGTCAGTGGTAGAGTCGTGTTGCTGTTAACCAACCACAGGAGAGATGTTCACATACCAGGAAGTAAGACTCAGATCCGGTCGTCCTCCACCTGACGTGTGCTTCCTGGTTCTGACTCATCTGAGCTCTTTCTTCCTCCTGAGAGCAACATTCATTCCTACTAGAGACCGCTGCAGATGTAAGGCTTACACGAGTCTTCCACACCTACGAGCTGTTTAACAGAATAGAACAGAATAGAACAGAATAGAATAGATTAGAATAGAATAGAACAGAATAGAACAGAATAGAACAGAATAGATTATAATAGAATAGAATAGAATAGATTAGAATAGAACAATAGAACAGAACAGAATAGAACAGAACAGAATAGAATAGAATAGAACAGAACAGAACAGAACAGAACAGAACAGAACAGAACAGAATAGAATAGAACAGAACAGAACAGAATAGAACAGAACAGAATAGAATAGAACAGAATAGAATAGAACAGAACAGAATAGAATAGAATAGATTAGAATAGAATAGAATAGAATAGAACAGAATAGAACAGAATAGATTAGAATAGAATAGATTAGAATAGAACAATAGAACAGAATAGAATAGAACAGAACAGAACAGAACAGAATAGAATAGAACAGAATAGATTAGAATAGAATAGAACAGAATAGAACAGAATAGAACAGAATAGATTAGAATAGAATAGATTAGAATATAACAATAGAACAGAACAGAATAGAATAGAATAGATTAGAATAGAATAGAACAGAATAGATTAGAATAGAATAGAATAGATTAGAATAGAACATAGAACAGAATAGAATAGAACAGAACAGAATAGAATAGAACAGAACAGAACAGAATAGAATAGAATAGAACAGAATAGAATAGAACAGAACAGAACAGAATAGAATAGAATAGAATAGAATAGAATAGAACAGAATAGAACAGAATAGAATAGAACAGAACAGAACAGAACAGAATAGAATAGAACAGAACAGAATAGAACAGAACAGAACAGAACAGAATAGAATAGAATAGAACAGAATAGACTCTATTGAGTCCACAGTGGGGACATGCACTTGTTACAGCATCACCAGCACTTGTATAGCGCCTCTCAGAGTAAGGACTCCAAAGCGCTTTACACTACAGTGTTTCATTCACCCATTCACACACTGGTGGTGATGAGCTACGATGT